ATCCACACCACACCCACCCACACCCACAAACCCACGCCCACCCACACCCCACCCACACCCTCTTCCTAGTTTGTTTGAAATAAATACGAATTTTCTGATGGTAAATGTTTTAATAAACTTCAGGGGATATAGATGTGAGTGTAGCGTTAAAAAAAGCATACATCTACTCTTTCAGTTGAATGATGACTTATAATTTATCCTAGCAAAATAATGTTGTCTTTTAATTGTGTATGGATCACCTATTGATCCTTCATTTAGTAATTTTCAAAAAATCCAAGATAAAAATAAATCATCTTTCAATTCTTCTATCGATTCAAATGATGTTTATTATTTGTCGAACTAGTAGTAATTAAAACACGAGTTTATTCTTATGGTGTTACATTCATTTTATAATAACTATACATAATATTCTAATTAATTCCATGATCATCATTTTTAAAATACTATGCACAAGTGGTTTATAAAGAAATCTAACCGAATACTAAATGTAACGTTAATAATGATGCGTTATTTAAAACTTTATAAAGTATCTTTAGTTCTCATTCATATTATAATAATATTCAATAGGAAATAATTTAAATAATGTACTTATTTGATCAATAGCATCTGCCCGGGGCAGACAGACACAAATTTTTTCTTAAAAGAAAATATGCTTCATTTTATATTTTGTTTGTTCCCTTTGTGTAGATTTTCGGCATCTAAATTTTTAATGGTAAAAAACGGCTAAAATTATTTGCTGAAAAAAATGATAAAATTTTGAACGTCCAAATGCATTCAAAAAAATAAATGATACACTAAAATATATCCTTTCTTTTTATAAACATTGTTTTCTACTTTTCTCTTCTTGTTGCAAAGCTCTTATTCTCGATAACTATTGTTTTTCTTTACGAATTTGTACTAACGAGTAGAAATCAGAGTATCATTATACCTTTATGAAAGTAAAATATAACTGTGCACTAAATTAAGACTGAAACATTGTAACGGAAAACTATATCGTTGAAACAAGAAACGAAAGAATGGAAAGTTCGAATATGCTCATTATCAAACGGTCATTTTTCAATCTTTCTTGACACGAGTGCTTGAAATAACTAAGTGGTGAGAAAAAAAGCATTTTACGCTCGTTTTCGATATTAACGATTCTCTACAACGTTTGAACTCATTGAAAAGATAGTGTACATCTCTCTCTTTAGACTTTATAATTCCTTCGTAACAAGAATATCTATAAGTAAAAAGGAAAAAATCCTATCTTATATCTCTCTAAATGAAATTCTAGATAAAGATGCAAGGAAATAATTATTCATGTGCGGCCATTCAAATACAGTGCGGGTCAAAAGTCTGGTCCTATTTTTTTGTTTTGAGTCGTATATTAAAACTGCACAAGATTAATTTAATCGAATTATATGTTTGGATAGTAGAGATCGAATACTATATATATATATATATATACACCTGTTCAATTCGAAAAATTCTTGAATATGAAATACAATAAGAAAAACAAACTTTAATACTAAGAAAAAAATGATATTATTGTTACAGGATACTTCCATGGTCAATCAACCACGAAAAACACAAAGTACGCAGAAAAATTTCCATTTTATTAGACTTTGTACAGCTTTTTTCGCTGATCATTTTGCTAATAAAAAGGAGTGTGGGTGTGAATGATGGAAATATCCACACCCACACCCACGTACATGCTTACGAATATGGTTTCCATTGAAACCTTCCTGGTGCAATCGTAGTACCAGTTTTTGAATATCTTTGCTTTTCATTATATAACCTTTTAATAGTAACAGTTTTATAGAACTTGAAATTCTCTACCTTTTTGTATATAAAGAAAGTTTTTATTTGAAGATGAAGTAAGAGAAAGAGATGATAATAATATTTTGTTCAGTTTATTATGGTCCACCCGTTAGTTAGGTCAACATTTGATTAAGTAGTGGAATCTAGCCAAGATGAATTCTAAGAAGACTATCAACTGAATTTGATTGATCAACTACTTTGAGAGATAAATGAGGAGAGAAAGAAAAATTTTGTTTTCATCTTTAAAATATAAATGTGCGAGAATGAATTTTCGAATTGGATCGATGTTGATTCATCTTCACTCAAATGATCGAATGTTTCTCGATTTCATTTTATGAATTATTTGTCGAACGTTTTTTTTCCCAATGATTTAAGTGTTTCTTCGAGAGATAATAAAGATTTACTTCTATAGAAACTAATTGATTTGAGTATTTGACTTAGTTCACCACGAATGTTAGCTAATAGATGCAATTGCATTAAATCAGGTATCTCTTAACTTTACTCAAAACTTAACAATAATGAATAAAGACCAACATCCATCACTTCATTTCTTAGCATTAAATGTTAGTGAATTACATAGTACTTTATACTATGTCTACATTTTCTACTTAGCATCTAATTCACTTAGAATTAAGTGGAAGTGATTGTGTTAGGAAAATATCATTTAACTTTGAGTTTTTCTTTACATAACGAAGAATCAACATGGTATTAATTTCACCCATTTAACAGAGACACTTCTATGAATCACTTGATTAATCTAAACAATACTATGTTTTTTTCTTACCATAGTGTAAAAATACTTTGCTTATTGTCTATGTTCTAAGACAAAATTGAAAAAAAAATGATTATGAATTGAGTCTAGCTCGATTTTTTCATCAAAATAGTTTATTAATAAAAGAGAGATTGACAAAAAATATGTATTATCAAAAAGAGGAGCATATAGATAAGTTAGCAGTACTATCTACCGAAGTGATGGTTTTTTTTTAATAGCTGGAAAGTGTGCTTAACAATGTATGAAAACTTGATCGAGTAATGATTCTGTCATCATCATCATCAATGATTTTCAAACGAATGTCTTTTCTGATAATTCGTTAAAATTCTATAAATTTCTGTTCCAATCCTAGATGATTTGATTGACTGTCTGATCATTGATAGTGCTATTATCGAATAAAACAGTGGCATTGGGGTTGAACTCCATTGTCGTTTGCAGTAGTTCTTCTTGATCAAATTTTTTTTGATTGCTGTAATTTAATATTCGTTGAATTGTTTGTTCGATTGGTAACGGTGTATTACTGAAGAATTCTTGAGTTATATACTGTTTTTCATCTTCAGATGTGTTATTCGTCTCAGTGAGTTCGATCATTGATATTTGCGAATAGGACACATACGTCTTTCGATTAAAAGCACGTTGATAATGATCGACTATAACTGAAACGAGCATACCAATTATAGCTGCACCAGCCAAGGCACACCCGCAAGCTATCATACGACCAGCAGTTGTTATCGGATACATATCTCCATAGCTATTGAAATAGATTGATATAATTTTGTTAGGAAAACTTACTGTACTCACCCAATAGTCATAATTGTGATTATTCCCCAATATAATGATTTCGGAATCGAACTGAACGTTGCTCTATTGTCTTTAACTTCAGCAACATAACACGCTGCTCCAAATAGAAATGCCAAAAGAATTATACCGGCAAATACTCCAATAAAATCGACAAATGATTCTTTAATAGTTGTACCAACAGTACGCAATGCTTTCAAATATTTAAAAATAAGAAACAATTTTAATATACGAAATAAACTTATTAAAAGTAAAACGTCTAGAGTAGTTGCAGTGTCCTGGTCTATATGCACATATGTATTATTTAATGCATAACCTAAGCGAACAAAGTAAGGAATAATAGATGCTAAATCAACATAAGTGTAAAACGACAAAAAAAAACGTTTATAAGATGGAGTACTAATCAAAAGAAGTAGAAATTCGATTGTAAAATATGCAACACAAATAGTTTGAATAATGAAAAATGGTGACTGGAATACTTGTGAACAAATTGGAATCAATGTTGAGTTGGCAGGAAGATTTGCTTGTTGGAGACAAGCATATAGTGAATAGCTAGCAAACATCGGCAAAGTTTCAAGAGCCAATACAAGACAAGAGAGCACAGTAAAAATCATTGTAATGATAGTAATTAAGGTAGCCCATATTGAACTTTTAGGATGTTCCAGAAGGCACCAAAGAACTTTACGCCAATGTTTTTTTGGCATGGGTGGACTTTTTAATTCATGTATATTTTCTGATTCCTTCAATTGATCGTATGCTTTTGGACCTAATTGAAAAAACGAAACCTCTTCGAGAAATATATCTAATGAGATAGTATCTGGTCGACGAAGTTGTCCATTTGATTGATAGTAGTGCAAGATAGATTCGAAACAACCTCGATGTCGATCGAAAAAGTATTCATTCCGTTCGTTAAGCCAGAAACGTTGCCGTTTACTTTCATTACCCAAAAGGGTTTCGGGAAAATTTTCGAGAGTAGATAATCGTGTTTCATATCGACGTCCACTAACATTGATTACAACTATTGGAGATTCATTATTCGGTTCTCTCATCGATTCATCAAAGGATTTAACTGAATCAATTAAAATCATACTATTATTATTATTATTATTTAATATCAATGAACTTAAATGAATGAACAAAAATTTTACTGAAATATTCTTAGAAAATATAGCTACAAACATACTTAATTTTATTGGATGATATTTTCGTTGATGTATACTTCAGAATATTACTTGAGCAGTATGGATATATTCGACTACTAGAGTATGAAACACATAGAATTTTATAATCCTATCTTGATGAAAATGTACTTGACGCCATTATATAAATTCTTCAAGGATGAAAGTATAATTGATATCCATATCTGTCTTCTCATATAATTCACTTTATACTTTTTTCGAGGGTCGATGACAGAAAAAAAAACAACAAAACTCTTATAAGAAAAATCTAAAATACGACTAAATCTTAAATAAAATCATACTATAGTCACCACATTCTTTTTCTATACGTCCTTGTCTGTTCTTCCTTTTCTATGTCTTTTTCTATACGTTCATTCCGAATATTGAAAAGTGTCATACACGTAAAGTTTGAATGTTGAATCGAATTAATTAAAAATAAGCAAGATTGTTCGCGTAACTAGAGATATAATTTTTAAAAATGCTAATGCAAAAGCAGTAGCATTAACGATTAAGACAAATGCTTCAGCATTATTAACATTAAAGCCAATTAATGTCAAAGTGTTAGTATTAGGTTAGCATTTTTTTTTAAATTCTAATACATGTAATTCATGTAGGTTTTAGAGACCTACTCAATGTACTACAAACACCGTCTGTCATGTTACAACTAGTATGTCTAGATAGTACTCGAACTACAACAAGTAGCATGTTAAATAGTCCCTGAAAAGTTATACGTGGCGATATAAGGTAACTGATCAGAACTTACATTGGTTACATGTAATAGAATTAAAATCAATGCCAATCTAATGCTAACACCTCGGCATTAATTAATTAAAATGTCGAAAATACTGACGTAATATTATTAATGATTAATGCTAATACTCATTCTAATGCAATACGCCTACGCCTAACTGACCTTTTATATCTGCATCATGGTCTGCGACTCTCCGAAGAACCACAATCCAAAATCGTCTCCGTATACATAGTAATATCTACTTCTATTTTATAATTTGACATAACGGAAAAGAACGTATAAAAAGGACATACAGAAATGCATGCATAAAAGGACGTATAGAAAATGATATATAGAAGAGAACGTATAGAAATCACGTAAATCAAAGCAAATCAGGATCATACGAAATTTTTTTTATCGTTTTCGACCGAAACGATAAACCAGATGGACTTATAACTTGTTCAACTGATCGTCGTTGTCAGATGTCATCCACAAGGGAGATCGGCAAGTTAAAAACAAAGGGGTACCAAAGAGAAATGAATGACAGTACACAATGGACGAAACAAGTACTGAGTTTATGACCTTGCAAAGGTGTTGGGAAATTTTAAGAAAATATATAAAGTAAGACAAAATGATTTCATATAATATCCTTTTCTAGTTTGGTCAAATCAGATAGTGATTTCACTGCGCATATTCAACGTAATGCATTGAGCAGAAAGTTCAACTCTTGTTTATCTTATTATCAAGATTCTGCTTTCTTCAAGTTCTACTAAAGATTCAGAAGAAAGTAATCTTTTTCATATCTACTTCCGATCGAACGATTCAGAATACAAAGTAGCAGTAGATTTCAATTTATTATCAAATTTTACTTAATCTCAGATAGTTGATTTCTGTTTTTCACAAAAGTAGCCTATGACGAGTAACAAAAAAAGCAGGTATTACAGATAGATAACGAGAAATGTTCTTTCACGAATACCACATAATATATATTTTCCCCGTTACAATGATGATGACTATTGGTTTCGTTTTTTAACTAGATACTCATATTATTAATTTAACCTTGAGCTTTTATCTACATCTACTACTTCGCCATCATTCTCACGCTATTCCTATAATAAAATACCTTTATCTTGGCTTTCATCCATCAAGTTTCCTATCTCTGAGTTATTAGTTATTTTCGAAATGATAAGATTTAAAGTAACAGATAATTATAGGTATATTAGTTCAGATTTCTAGGAATCTTTTTTCAATATTTAGATATTTCGAAAACCTTGAACAATTTTATTTTTGAATACAGAAAAATAATGCAATTAGATCGATGATGAAAAGACAAACAAATGATATTTGTATATTTTGTAAAACTTTCATAAATCAGAATAGCAAACTTGATGTGAAATACTTGATGCAATAAAACAACTGCAAAATATCATCAATGCTTTTCAATAATAAAAAACTTTTGAGATCTTCTGTGTGCTTCTTCAATGATTTTGTCTGTCAAGAGTCAGTAGTAATACTGGGCATTTTTGGTAGAACGGACAAATTCGTATAAAGAAAGTTAGAGGATTCGAAATACTGCAAAATTAAGAATGTAAGACAAATACAAACTTGAATTGTCAACAACATATGCGGATATCTGTTATGTATAACATCATCTCGATTTGATATGTATCTGCAGTATTTTTTTTCTTTGTATGACCTAAACAAAACGTTCGTCGACTATATCGATGTTTGCGCATGAATAGTTACGTTTCAAGAAGGAAAGATATTCTTTTTTTTGCTCGCTGACGATATTCACCTTGAGAATACTCTCCTGCCTTAGAGAATACAGAGAATGAGAGAATCATCTATTGTTTCGTGTTCTTCACGAAGTTTTTTTTTTTTTGCTAGTCAATTTAGTATGCGGAGTCATTTGCACACTGTTCATATGAATAAATGATTCATTGATGAAGTCGCATAACGCATATGTATAATCAAACACGTAAGAAGCAAAAGCATTAATTTGACTATCATTTAAGTCATCAGTAAAAAGTATGTAAATGGTCAATATAAATATTCAAAAAGTCACTAAGAAAATTATCAGTAATTTGATTCACTATAAAATGGTCAGTTTGTTAAAGACAATTAAAAAATTGCAATTTATATATTAGTAAAAAAACACAAAATTTATCAATATTAAGATCAACTTTACCAGTAGAAAATAAATTATAGAATAAATAAAAAATTATTCAACAAAAAACAAAATAAAAATTGAATTATTGCATTTGTACAACAGATTTCATCTTTGGTAATCTATCTCTATGGTTTTTCTTATCAATTGGGATATAATATTTTTTTTAAGAATCATGTGACATACAACTGATATCTTTTATTGATTTAGCCTATTAATATGATAGAATCCATAATTGTAAAGATATTGCTAGTTCTATAACAAATATTCTTGCATTAACTAAGGATGGATCTCATTCGGTTGATCAGTCCATTTAAATATAAATTAATTTTCAATAATTCCATTTATTCAAAATAATTTATTGAAAAGAGTTCTGAGTAAAAAAAACCGGTCTTTGCTAAGTATTTAATTTAAAGCTTTAAACAAAAAGAAAATAAATGTATTATTAGAAAATTTTACTACATATCTGTTTTATTAACAAAGCTTTAATTATTTTTTTTTACGGTTGTCCTCGTTTTTTGTCCATCTAAAGCTACGTCCTTTGCTGCTGGAGGATGTGAATGTAGATGTTAGTTTAAGTTTTCACTGTACACCGACACTTTTTTCCTATTAAAAAGTTTTTGAGATAATATAATGATAAAATAAAAACAAAAACTTCAACCAACACTCACCCTCGATTTAGTGCAGGATTATGGTTTTGATATATCACGATTAATCGTCAATTTGATAATGATTTCAAGAACATTGAATAACATTAACATAATTCTCTTTAAGTAATATTCGTTATTCTGAAGAAATGTAATTAATTTCATCAGTTTCATGATTTTTGCGTTGTTTTCATAAATACTCTGGTGAGTAGTTAAATCAAATCAAATAAAAGTAAGTTTCTTTTTTAATCTTTTTTATGATGAGATTTTCGTGCATGTGTAATAATTTTCATGGAAAATTAATCGTTTTCATGAATTAAAATTTTAATTTTTCATCGGCGAATTTTAAAAAACACTAAAAACAATATCTATCTAATCATCAAAAATAGCATTTGTTTTTTACTTCGCGTCATCATTTTTGTGCATTTTTTTTTCGCTAAAGTGAAGAATAATTAAAAATAAGAAAATAACATTCAATGGTATCAGAAGGTTAACAAAAAATAGTTGTTTATAAATGTATGTTAAAGACTTTTGGATATCTTAAAATAGTTCTATTGTTTCATATGGATATTATCACATTTAACCATTACAATTTCAATCAGCAAAAGTTATTATTACTGATGTTTTCATATAGTATTCAATCATGTTTTTATAGATGATTTATACATATAATTTTCTTGTTGTCGTGTTCAAATATATTTCGATTAATTAGTTTTTCGTATAATTAATGTTAGAGAACGAACCATTCATATCAATGATTATTGATATATTATATTAAAACTAAATTGTTATACGTAAATGAAATTTATCAAAAACAAACATTTCTTTTTTTTTCTCGTTCATCGAACAAATCAAAAAATAGAGAAGTTACTTACTTATGTTCCATAAAAACAATTGATAGAAGATTTTTATCATTCGTCAGATAAGTTCCTCAAAGGGACTTCATTTTATCTATTGAATTTTTTTTCTGTTTCAAAGTGCACGTCAAAATGAATGAGCTGAATGAGTTCTTTTCTTTTTTAATCAAGTTTTTTTTTTCCTGTATATAAAAGCACTTCCATAAATAGATTAGTATTTTTAAAGACTTTTTTTCAGATATCGTACTTATCATCCGTTTTCTTCATATAAAGTGTAAGAAGGGTGTAAGTGTGAATGATAATAGTAACACCTACACCCACACCCAGCCACACCCCACACCCGCCACCCACACACCCACACTCTCACACCCACACCCACACCACACCCACACCCACACCCTTCAAGCTTTGAGGTGATTAAAATGAAGACAGAATAAAGAGTTAGTC